TGCAGTAGTCCAAGCGGGAAGTGACCGTATTTAACGAGTCCCGATCCAGAAAGGGACGCAACTGGCGAATCAGGCGGACCTGATAAAAAGTCCCCCTGGCCACGGCCGTCATATGCTCTTCTAAAGACAGCCGTGAGTCCAGGAGGACACCCAAGTTGCGAGCCCTCTCCGTGGGGGGCAATGACTCGCCCCCAATAGTCAGTGATGGCGCCAACTGACTATATCGGGATGTCGGAAACCACAGCCACTCAGTCTTGGATGGGTTGAGCCTGAGTCTGTTTCTCCCCATCCAGATCCGCACCTACAGTATCGATGTTACGGGCATCTGTATCGTAAGATCTAATCATCTCCTTGACCCGAGAGTTCACACCTCCCATGCCACGCCCTACAGCTGGCCCAGATACCCTCCCCCGCGGGTCTTCCCCCGAACCCACGTAATCTACCCCCCTCCCAGAATCCCTTAAAGTCTTATTAAGAAATTTCCCTAAAAAACCCCATAACCCTCTTTTTGCTGTATGCCATCTCTCCGGACTCCAAAGTCCGTCATTGAGATAGGCCCTCGATAAAGAAGAGGGCCAGACCTGCGAGAGGGGGGCATCTCGCAGTTTGAGGAGTTCTCCCAATGAGTACATTTTGTAGCTAGATAGTCTATAGCTGGTAGGCATGTCCTAGTTATCCAGGGTCCTGTGGAGAGAGTATCAATTAGAGGTACAAGTCATTTTAGTCCCGCTGAACTCTCATATCAGCGGTAGAAAGAGCCATTTTGAACTCAGATGTGAACATCGATCACCCTCTCACGGCAACCAGATATAAGGGAGAAAAACAGCAGCTATAGTCCTGTTCTTTCAATGTTGTACCTAGGCATAGATGGAATAGCCAATCCTTGAGATTAAAGATACGGATAGTCTGTGGGAAATATATATCGTAGGCAAAAATCCAGGGAGACTCAGATGAAATAAAAGTAAGGAAATTCTCATCCTGATATACAGGAAACAACAAACCTGGATAGCAAATGATTCACAAAAAGCTGAATATCCGGTCATAAAAGGGCGATAGGAGATAAAAATACAGGAGGGGAGATGGAATAAGGCAGTGACTTTGTAGAAGCAAAGCCCCCATGATAGACATAACAATCATTTCTAATCTCCTTAGCTTACTTTAGGTCTTTTATGCATGAAGGTTTAACCCCACCCCCTATAGAAAGAGAGGGGGGAGGCCTCTGGGAGGTAATCCAGAGCTGGCCCAACAATGGAAGGATTGGCATCTTTCCATTGCCCAGGAGATCAGTTGAAAATAAATAAGAAAGGTCCCTATTCTCCTTTCTGAGGCCTCTTTGGTCTCTAAATTGCATTGGTTTTTACTGCCTGTAACCACCAACTGTAACTGCTATTTCGGGCGCCATTTTGGAATTTTAAACTGCCACCACCATCGGCCTCCTCCGCGCTGATTTCGCCCACCGCCGGCCTCTGCAGGCAACCTCCAATCTTGCCAAGGGTCTAACGAAGTCAGCCCAGGGTGCCAGACAGTCATCGCAGCCGTATATCGCCATCCATCCGGCAGCCTCTGATGAATGTAGGGCCGGCTGTCATGAAGCTATTGGCCCAAATTCGCTGACTCAAATCCCACCAGCACCGCCCGTCTCATTATAAGCTGTTTCAGAGAGCGAAGCCACAAAACCGCTCTCCTAGAAGGTCTTCCGGAGCCGAAAACGCTCCCATCGGATCGGCAAATCAGCCCTCTCAACACACCATGGGCCATAGATGGGTAATTGGCCCTAAGGACCCCCAACTGTCAGGACATTACCCCCGTAAAACCGGAGCTCCATCGGGAGTCGCCATCTTGGGCATGTGCGAGGGTTCCATATAGATGTTTCATGTAGATGTTAAATAGGAGGGGAGAGAGGACCGAGCCCTGAGGCACCCCACAAACGAGGGCCTAGGGGTCGACCTCTGTCCTCCTGCCAACACCGACTGTGACCGACCAGAGAGATAGGAGGAGAACAACTGTAACACGGTGCCTCCCACTCCCAACTCCCTTAGTCGTCCTAAAAGGTTACCATGGTCAATGGTATCGAAAGCTGCTGAGAGGTCAAGTAGCACCAAGATAGAGGAATGACCCCCATCTCGGGCTCACCAGAGATCATCCATCAGCGTGACCAAAGCAGTTTCTGTGCTGTAGCCAGGCCTGAAGCCAGACTGAAAAGGTCTAGATAATCTGTTTCATCCAATGACCGCAGAAGCTGAAGTGCCACCACTTTCTCTACAACCTTTCCCACCAAGGGTAGGTTGGAGACTGGACAAAAGTTCTTTAATTCTGCTGGATCCAGGGAAGGCCTCTTGAGGAGGGGCCTTATAACCGCTTCCTTTAATGGTTGCGGGAAGGCACCTTCCCTCAAGGACATGTTAACTAAAGCCTGGAGCCAGCCTCGTGTCAACTCTCTGGCCAAAACCAGCCAGGAGGGGCACGGGTCCAACAAACAAGTGGAGGAACTCATTGCTCCTACAGCCTTGTCCACTTCCTCAGGAGTCACAGGCTCAAATTCATCCCACACAATAGGACTAAGACCTGCCCCCGTCATCTCGGTCGGAATTGCCCAATCAGAGTCCAGGCACATCCAAATCTGAGCGACTTTATCCGACAGAAACTGCACAAACTCCTCAGCTCTACCCTGCAAGGGCTCCTCCACTCCCTCTACATTAAGGAGGAAGCGAGTCACCCTAAATAGGGCAGCTGGGCACGAATCAGTGGATGCAATAAGTGCGGAAAAATGTGAACATTTTGCCACCCATATCGCCACTAAATAAGTCCTAATAAAGGTTCTTAAGAGTGTTCAGTCAGATTCAGAGTTACTGGTCCTCCAGCGTCACTCTAGACGTCTCTTCTGGCGCTTCATCTCCCGGAGCTCCTCGGTAAACCAGGGAGTTTTCCTGGATCCACCGTCATGGAGAGGTCTCAAAGGCACAATCCGGTCCAGTGCCCCAGATGCCGCTCTATTCCAGGCAGCCACCAGGGACTCAGCTGGACTGTGGACAAGGGAGTCAGGTATCTTCCCAAGCTCCTTCTGGAACCCTTCAGGGTCCATTAGGCACCTGGGGCAGAACCATTTAATCAGCTCTGCCTCCCTGTGATGGAGGAGTAGCGCCCTGAAGTCTAACCTCAGCAGGAAATGAACTGACCACGACAAGGGAGAAGCATCTATACTCCTTAATTCCAGATCATATCTCCACTGCCCCAAGAAAAACACCAGGTCATGTGTGTGTCCCCCCCATGAGTCGGACCCTGAACTACTTGGGTCAGGTCCATGGTTGTCATGGAAGCCATGAATTCCTGAGCCGCATCTGAGGATTCACCAAGTGATGGCAAGTTGAAGTCCTCCAGTACCATAAGCCTCCACCACCAGCCCGGCTACTGCCTCTAGCAGCACAGGCAGGGCTGTCGTAATGCAGCTGGGAGGCAGGTACATCAACAACAAGCCCAACTGAGCCCCTGACTCTAAGAAGAGAGGAGGAGAGAGGAGTCTCTCAAGAGGAGAGACTCACAACCAACAATCTCAAGGGCAGGGATCCTGCAAGGGCAAAGACTCTTCCAGACAATAGCTGCCACTCCTCCACCCCTTCCCTGAAGTCGCGGCTGATGCAATATCTAGAACCTGTCTGGGCACATCTCTGGGAGGGGCACACCCACCTCCTGGCCTAGCCAGGTCTCAGTTATGCATGCCAGCCCCCTCCTCCAGGATTAAGTCCTGAATGAGGGGGGCCTTATTAACAACAGACCTGGCATTAAACAGCAGCAGCCTGAGGCCAGGGCCCTGAATCCCAAGTCACCAGGTATATGAGGCGAGCCCGGTGAACCAGAACCAGAGGGAGCAGAACAAGTAATCACTTTGAGACAGCAAGTCCTAGTTTCCTGAGAGCGGCCTACCCCTCAGCTCTCGCCATATCTACCTCTCCCGGTCATAACCGCAATACTCCGGCTCTCCAACACCCCAGAGATCCTTTCCCCCACCTCAATGGCCCTCTTCTTCCCCGGCAGGCAAGGCACCCCACTCATACCGAGCCGGGGGTCATATCTGAGCCCCCGTCTGCTTCTGTTTGCACACTCAGCAGAGGGGGCTCCATACCTTGCCCCCGGCTCCCTCATTCTCCCCAAATTCAGCCACTCCACTCCATTCCTTCCATCCAATCCATCCCAACACCCTCACACATACACACACGCACACCCTCCCCAAGATAAAATTAATATATTGAGCAAAAAGATATCAGGTGAGTTAAAACAGATCTAAAAATGCTCTGGAGACTCCACCAGTGGCTTGAGAGGAGCCACATATTGAGGTATCCCAGCAAACAGTGGGTGCCCTCCAGCCATTGAACCTTGGCTCCATCCAGTCCTTTCCAAAAGCCGATGGCCACTCCACCATCTTGCCTTGGGGACCCCGTGGATTTCACAGAAACCTCCAGTTTTTCCTTCAGATGTTCCTCCTGGTTAAAGTCCTGCTTTCGTCTCCACCAGTACAGTCTAGGAAGCCACAATTGGCTCTATTTAAAAACATTGCATGTGGAATAAACCTGGTTCTCTCCAAAGAAGGTCTCTGGCCCAGGATGTCTGTTTTGCCAGCGATGTGGAAAGTGGGGATTAAAGTCAATTAAAATCAATTTGGCTGAAAATTTCCCCAAAAAGGACTCACCACTGCAAGAATGCTAATTAACTTAGTAGGTTCCTCTGCATCTACTTTCAGCTTGCTTAGTGATATTTCAGATCCTGAAGTTGCTGACTCATTCCTCAAGTAAACCACAACTCAGCTTGTCCATAGATTAAGGGTCATCCAGGCTTACGGTTGCTCCAGACGTTAGCTTCTTTCTTCCCTGAGCTGCTCCCCAGCCAGCCAGCCAGCCCACCCTAGTGAAGCTGAGGTGATGAACAACCTTGGGTGATAAGAAGGGCTCTAGGACCCAGGGGAATAAGGGCAGGCAAACTCTGAGAGCCAAACTGCAAATTCCTCTCTGTAATTTAGTCGGTTCCACACAGCGCAGTCCAAGTTATTTCCTCTTGGTTGTTGTTGTTGCTTCGATTGCTTCCTTCGTTTGCCTTCCCCTCCCTTCTCTCCAAACGCTTCGTTGGCTTCCTTCGTTGGGGTAGAGATGTTAAAACAGTTGTTCCCTTCTGAACCGGTAAGCATAGTCTTCTTACCTCAGGCAGAGCCTTCTTCTTGCTCAGATCCAATTTGAACTGAGCTGTTTTGCCAACTCTTTCTCGTGAGGAAAAGACACCTGGTAGATCCAGTCCTAAAACTTACACAGCTAAGAGGGTCTCCTAAGTAGGTAGAAATGATGACTCGGCTCTTCTCCAACAACCTCGTTCCTAAACAACATCAACCAGCTACCAAAACCTCTCCCACTTTATGGGGCCTATTTGTAGCACGGAACTCTTTCAGAGGCCTCCCTTGTGCGTTTCTGCCCACAGAACAGAGAGAGGTCCATTCACTGAGCTGGTCAAGTAACATTCCAAATGCAAACAATTATTTATCAATTTTATATTTTTATTGGAAGTCAATGAAATGAAAGTACTTACTCTGAATTTCTGGATATTTCATCATTAGGAGTATGGACCAGGACAGAGTGTTTGCCATTGTTTCTGTACCAGCACCAAATAAATCATATACAAGACCTATAAGGTTTTCATTACAGAAATATCCATCGTTTTTTATATTCATATTCTCCTGAAGTATATAAAGAAAATTCAAGTAAGGAAACACAATCTACTCACATAACCAATATTCCTAAAGTCTATGAAGTCTTCATATATAGTTAATACCTTTCCCCAATGGTTTCAGTTGCCCCAACAACTGAAGTTGCCCCCTAGAAGGGAAAACTCTAATATGAAACAATTATACATACAGAGAAACTATCAATGGTGGGCTGCTGGGGGTTTGCAGGGGTTTGAGAGAACTTCTAGCTAAAATTCTGTACAGTTCAGGACAACCCCCAAATCCCACTCCTGGATGGCCCTGCCCAACCCCCCCTAGGGGTACACTGCCTGTTTTGGATGAGGTAAGTGCAGGGTGCACACGGAGGCTCGGGGAGGGTGAAAAATGGGCCTACCAGAAGTTCGGGAAGGCCAGAAACGAGCCTGTTCTTTGCAATTCTGTGCAGTTCAGGCCCTTTCTGCCTCCAGAGGGCTTACGGAGCCTGGGGAGGCTGATTTCACCCTCCCAGAGGCTCAAGGAAAGCCTTTGGAGCCTGGGAGAGCAAAAATGCCCCCCCCCCACTGTGATGCAGGAGGCTGGCCACGCTCACCCAGCAGCCAGGAAGAGAAGTCCTTGCTAAAATTTTTGAAGCCCACCCTGGAAACCATTGACACAAGCCATTCCTCCAAAAAAGGGTAAATATTTATAGGATTTTAATGGGGGGCAGATTAAAATTTGTGTTTCCTTTTGTATTTCTGAAACAAGGACCTTAACCAAGCTGCAGGTAGTTTCTATGGAGGTAAATTTTTAAGATATGTTTCGACACACACATATAAAATAATTTATTACTTCTCTTTGCCGAAGAAGAAATGATTTGATCAAATTCCTCTGGTCATTTTCATCAAGATCTTGGGAATATTCTTTCAAGATGATCTGTGTGAAATCATGGAGCTCCTTTTGATTCTTTATCATTAATTTAGGAGTGGTCAAAAGGAACCCCAACTTGGGAAACAAATTGTATAGCTGAAAGAATGATAAAGGAAAACTCATATTATGGAAGTTCTCAGGTGGACATCTCAAAGCTGTATATGTTCCCCAAGTCTACAAAACAAAACCCCATGATAATAAGCAAGATCACATGACTGAATGAGCTTTGGATAGTCAATATTGCTAATTCACTAAGCCCCAAATTCTATGGACTAAACCTCCACACAGGTTTTGAAAGAGGGAGTGCTTATTTTCTACTATACTATTGAATGAGTTCCTGTGGTCACATTGTGTTGATTTCCAAACAAGGGATGTGAACCAACATTGCAAGAAATTCAGCGCAAGTCTTAGTCAAGGGAGCAGTCTAGTACATGCATAAAGTACTGTATAAAGAAAAGGAAAGATATTTGCAGTGAAGGCTCTTACTTTTCACAAGTCTTTCCAAGGAAGGAAGAGGAAATGATGAGGCATACATCATGAGCTCATGTTAAAAAGCAGTTTCCATACTTGCATGCAACTACATAAGGGTAGGATTTGAATCCCGATATCATCATCTTCATGTTGTTTTTGGATTCATCTTGTTACAGGTGTCCAGGAGAAGCAACATGCTTTGCTTCTCAATAAAGCTTGAGGATCAATCAATCAGAATAGAGCTAGAAGAGATTTTGGAGGTCTTCTAGTCCAACTCCCTGCTCAAGCAAGAGACCTTATATCATTTCATCTAAGGCTATCATCTTAAAAACCTCCAGTGATGAAACACCTACAACTTCTGAAGGCAAGCTATTCCACTGTTAGAAAGTTTCCTCTTAATTCCAGATTGTTTCTCTCCTTGATTAGTTTCCACCCATTGTTTCTTGTCTTGCCTTCTGGTGCTTTGGAAAATAAGTTGACCTCCTTCTCTTTGTGGCAGCTGCTCAAATACTGGAATACTGCTATCATGTCACCCCCATTACATTTTTTCTCTAAACTAGCCATACCCAATTCTTGCAACCGTTCTTCATATGTTTTTGTCTCCAGGCCCTTAATCATCTTAGTTGCTCTTTGCACTTTTCCCAAAGTCTCAACATTTTTTTCATAATGTGTCCAAAACTAAATGCAGTATTTCAGGTATCGTCTTACTAAGGTTTTATAAAGTGGTACTAATACTTCACATGATTTTGATTCTATCCCTCTGTTTATGCAACTAAGAACTGTATTCACTTTTTTGGCTGCTGGCATATACTGCTGGCTCATATTTAAATGATCATCCACTAGGACTCCAAGGTCCCTCTCATAGTTACTGTTTTTGAGCCAGGTTTTGTCTAATCTGTACTTATACCTTTGGTTTTTCCTGTCTAAATGTAAAACCTTGCTTTTCTCCGCATTAAATTTCATGTTGTTGGATAGGGCCCATTGTTCAAGTCTATCAAGATCTTTTTGGATCCTTAACTTGTCTTCATGGCTGTTGGCTATTCCTGCCAGCTTAGTGTCATCTGCAAATTTGATTAGTTCCCTTTCTATTCCCTCATCTAAGTCATTGTGCTGTCTGTTTTTCGTGACTTTTTTTTTCAAATAAAAAAACTTAGATTACCAATATAGCAGGACTTCCTGAAAGCCGAATATTTTCACTGTTTATCTTCACTAGTTTTATAAATTTGGTATCTTCATATTCATAGCGTTCCCCAAATAGAATAGAAACTATGATGTTGGAAACAGCAGCAGTCAGAATTGTTGTGACGTCAAAGGGTTTTCCTTGGCAAAACAATAGATAAAAAAGAATTGTGAATCAAACCAGGATTAAATCTGCTTTTTCCTGCATTTATACTCAAAATCGGCTTACATAAAGGGAGTATTTATCATAGAAGGCCATAGCTAGAGCTGATGACGTTGGAAGTATTTTGATTAAAAAATATGCAAAATTATTTAAAGGGTAATTTATTGTCCCAGAGGAAAAATTGCAGTTTCTGACCATACATAAATTATTATTTCATTGAATTACTTGAGGATAAAATACTTGGCAAAATTACTGTGATGCTTCCTCATTAAATGATTGCCCTTTTAAAGATCAAATAGCTACTGAGCTTCATAATATGAAGGAAGGAAAAGTAGGTATATTATGTAGGAGGAAATTATAATAGATTTCAATGAAGATACTTAGGATTGTATGTAACCAATAATTCACAAAAGGAAGGACAGAATGATTAAAATAAAACTGCAGCCACTTCCCACTCTCAAATCTGAGAACAGAACAGCCAAAATACCATTCACTCAGAATGTTAGAAGAAAAAGACTAAAATTTAAAACCTTGAAGGTAGATACCTATATAGACGCTTAATAAATTAGATATTGTATTTTTCTCAAGCCTTTCTTTATTGCAACACTGAGTTTGTAGATATGTAAGCATGCTCCATAAGTGGAAACACATTTGGCAGTTAGACAAAAAACTTAGTTTTCTAAGTGTTATATTAAGGGTTTATTATGAGTATGAGTATATTATAGGGAAGTCTGGGGGGAGGGGAGGGTTAGGGAGGGTTAGGGAGGTTGGGAAGTCTGGGGGGGAGGTGGGGGGGGAAAAAGGGGTGAAAATGTAATTGTAAAACTTTTGCAATAAAAAAAAACTTAGTTTTCTAGATTATTTTTATATCACATACCCCTCTTATTTCTTTTTCCTCAAGACAATTTTATCCATGTCATTTCTGGGTTGCAAAAATGCAAATGATGAGAACTTTGTATATCCTTCTGCTATCCCATAATTATCCAGATGTTTGCAACCCAGATATTGTGTGCTAACCACATTTGACATTGTAGGGCTTTAACAACTAATATTTCGGGAAATACGAGATTCCTTCTATATTAGTTACTTGTGAAGTGTGCTGCTGAGTAGGTGCACTACCTGCAGCTTGATCTTATGACTATGCTAAAAATAAGAGGGGATTCCATACTGACAATTCAAAGATAATACTTCTGTTGGAGAACATGGGTAAAATATGTTTTCTCTACATCCCTTAATAACTTTAGATTATATCTTTCTGTTCTTTAAGAAACTGCCATTTGATTATCCTTCACCCAAAGTGGAGAGAATTAACTCCAATTTACAAGACATTTTCCTGCTCGGAGGAAAGACTTGCAACCTGCTGTAAATAGTCTCTCTAGAGGAGTCTGTACAGAAGAGTAAGTTTAGAAGTGTTATTTATCAGAGACTGTTTCATTATACTGAATTCAGGTCCTCTGGAACCATTTTGCCATCCATAAGTCATATTTCTGTAAATATACCGTATTTTCCGGCGTATAAGACGACTGGGCGTATAAGACGACCCCCAACTTTTCCTGTTAAAATATAGCGTTTGGGCTATACTCGTCATATAAGACTACCCCTCTTCCAATGCACACCAAATAAAAATTAAAAAACATCAACTGGCTCACCTACAATGTAAAAGCAGCTGTGCTAGACCCAAAATGGCCCCTGCAACAAGCAGGAACCTCACACAGCCACAAAAAGCCCCCCCAAAAAACTTTCACACTCTAAACACACACACACAAACACACAACTGGCTCACCCACAATGTAAAAGCAGCTGTGCTAGACCCAAAATGGCCCCTGCAACAAGCAGGAACCTCACACAGCCACAAAAAGCCCCCAAAAAACTTTCACACTCTACACACACACAACACAACTGGCTCACCCACAATGTAAAAGTAGCTGTGCTAGACCCAAAATGGCCCCTGCAACAAGCAGGAACCTCACACAGCCACAAAAAGCCCCCCAAAAAAACTTTCACACTCTAAACACACACAACACAACACAACTGGCTCACCCACAATGTAAAAGCAGCTGTGCTAGTCCCAAAATGGCCCCTGCAACAAGCAGGAACCTCACACAGCCACAAAAAGCCCCCAAAAAACTTTCACACTCTACACACACACAACACAACTGGCTCACCCACAATGTAAAAGCAGCTGTGCTAGACCCAAAATGGCCCCTGCAACAAGCAGGAACCTCACACAGCCACAAAAAGCCCCCCCCCCAAAAACCTTTCACACTCTAAACACACACAACACAACACAACTGGCTCACCCACAATGTAAAAGCAGCTGTGCTAGTCCAAAATGGCCCCTGCAACAAGCAGGAACCTCACACAGCCACAAAAAGCCCCCCAAAAAACTTTCACACTCTACACACACACAACACAACTGGCTCACCCACAATGTAAAAGCAGCTGTGCTAGTCCCAAAATGGCCCCTGCAACAAGCAGGAACCTCACACAGCCACAAAAAGCCCCCCAAAAAACTTTCACACTCTACACACACACAACACAACACAACTGGCTCACCCACAATGTAAAAGCAGCTGTGCTAGACCCAAAATGGCCCCTGCAACAAGCAGGAACCTCACACAGCCACAAAAAGCCCCCCCAAAAAACTTTCACACTCTACACACACACAACACAACTGGCTCACCCACAATGTAAAAGCAGCTGTGCTAGACCCAAAATGGCCCCTGCAACAAGCAGGAACCTCACACAGCCACAAAAAGCCCCCCCAAAAAACTTTCACACTCTAAACACACACAACACAACACAACTGGCTCACCCACAATGTAAAAGCAGCTGTGATAGTCCCAAAATGGCCCCTGCAACAAGCAGGAACCTCACACAGCCACAAAAAGCCCCCCAAAAAACTTTCACACTCTACACACACACAACACAACTGGCTCACCCACAATGTAAAAGCAGCTGTGCTAGACCCAAAATGGCCCCTGCAACAAGCAGGAACCTCACACAGCCACAAAAAGCCCCCAAAAAAACTTTCACACTCTACACACACACAACACAACTGGCTCACCCACAATGTAAAAGCAGCTGTGCTAGACCCAAAATGGCCCCTGCATCAAGCAGGAACCTCACACAGCCACAAAAAGCAAAGCCCCCCCAAAAAACTTTCACACTCTAAACACACACAACACAACTGGCTCACCCACAATGTAAAAGCAGCTGTGCTAGTCCCAAAATGGCCCCTGCAACAAGCAGGAACCTCACACAGCCACAAAAAGCCCCCCCAAAAACTTTCACACTCTACACACACACAACACAACTGGCTCACCCACAATGTAAAAGCAGCTGTGCTAGACCCAAAATGGCCCCTGCAACTGTAGTGGAATGGAAGGACTAAAAAACATTCCCAGGCCAGTCAGAGACAGTTTATTGCGCAAGGTTCAGAGCCAGATTTGTACCTGAAGCTTTGAACAAAGAAAGAACTCTGATACAATGGTTTTTATACATTTCTAAGACAAAGGATTCAGTGAGATCATACATTTTCCATATATTTTCCAGTTCATCTAATTACTTAAAGCATTAATCTTAGTTTATAAAATTATCTTAGCCACACAACTTTTCTTAAGTGCTCAGAGTTGCTAATGGGAGAGTTACTACTGTCCTTGGGTAAGTTCATTAGATTAAGTAACTCTTTGTAACATATAGGTCTTTGTGTCATTCACAGTCAGGTCACTTAGATGTTTTTCCATATAGCAGTCCTTTCTGTGACATCTAGGTATCAGAAGATATATTACCACTTAAAAGGGTTTAACTGTTTGTTAATGTAATTTCCAACAAGCACTTTCCTCTCTCATAATAATGTGAATAGATAGAGTCTCTCAGAGTTCATGTATCTAAGC